CTACAGCACGGATTTTCTTAGAGCTCTCATGACCCAGCAATGTTTACTTGCTCCTCTCAGCATGGCATTGTTATTCTACTGCTTTATGTCGACGATATGGTTATCACTGGGGATGACCTGAATGGTATATCCAGGCTCAAAGCTTATCTATGTTAGTGTTTTGAAATGAAAGATCTGGGTGTCCTTCGCTACTTCCTTGGTATTGATGTTGCTCACTCCTCTACATGCTATTTCCTCTCCCAAGTAAAATATGCCTCTGATATTCTCGCCCGAGCAGGCCTTGCTGACAACAAGACTGTCGATACTCCTCTTGAGATGAATGTCAAACTCTCCCCTTCTGATGGCACCCCACTACCCAATCCCACATTATATCGGCAACTTGTGGGAAGTCTCAATTACCTCACTATCACTAGACTTGACATCAGTCATGCTGTCCATATTGTGAGCCAATTCATGTTTGCTCCACGTTCTGTTCACTTTGCTGTCATTCTCCGTATCATACGCTACATCAAAGGGACCTTGCACCAGGGCCTACATCTTGCTTCTACATCTCGTCCTGTGTTACAAGAATACTCTGACTCAAACTGGGTTGGTGATATTACTGATCGACGTTCCACGACTGAGTACTGTATTTTCCTTGGCGATTCACTTATCTCGTGGAAAAGCAAGAAACAGACTATCGTTGCCCGCTCCAGTGCCGAAGCTTAATATCGTGCTCTCGCTCATGCTTCCGCCGAAATTGTATGACTTCACTGGCTGCTTCAAGATATGGGTATTGACCATCCTGACCCCACGCCCTTATATTGTGATAACAAAAGTGCTATCCAAATAGCCCACAATGATGCCTTTCATGAGCGCACTAAGAATATTGAAGTGGATTGTCATTTTTTTCGTCAACACTTTCTTTAAAAGCATATTCTGCTACCGCACATATCTTCCGAGTTTCAGATAGCCGACTTGTTCACCAAACTTCATGTGGTTGCCAGGTTCCGGTTCCTCGTATCCAAGTTCCGGATGCTCTTCAAGCCTCCATAAGACTTTCTTTTATATTTATTTCTATTTTGGAAGTGGGGGCGGGGCTGCCGCGGTTGTTAGAAATATTTTTTAAAATTACTAGAAACTATTCTTATCAATAATGCACTAATGACAGAACGAAATGATTAACTTAAGATACCCTCCCCAGGCTGTATCAACAATAGCACGCTAGAGGAGCAGCCAGAACCCTGTCCTCTAGCTCAACTATCAAAAATAACCCATTCCTTAACCACTTCTCCCAGCAATCCCAAATCAAACACCAAACTACTTCAACCTCCTCCTAATCCACCAACAGATACTTTTACGAGCATCAATACAACAAAAAAACCCCGGCGCCTCCACCATGCTGACGTTCCTCCATCCGAGATTTGCACCGAGCACGCGACCCTCACCCAGAAGCATGCAGGATGTGTTGCATTGTGCGTCAGCGAGGTGCGAGTTGACGTAGTTAGGGTTTCTGACGGTGGTGGTGGCCGGAAACAATGACATGGACGTGGGCCCCCCTAGAGTGACGGAGAAGGATTGGAAGTAGAAGAAGGGGAGGGAGGAGGAGAATAGTGAGACGAGAAGGAAGACGTACTGCGTACGCGATGCTGATGGTGATGGCGAGGAGAATACAGACGAAGAACCAGATGCATGCAGATGCTACTGTGTCGATGGGAGAATGAGCGACGGCGGCCGTGGGTGGATCGTCGCCACGCTCGGGGGCTGGCCATGTTTGAAGAAGGTTAAGTTTGATATGTGAAGAAGAATAGGACGTTGGTTTGTTAGTAACGTATTAGGACTCGCGTATATATTAGGATAGAAGGCCTAAAGCAACTAAAGAAAAGATTTAGGATTAATCTAAGTTATTAGTCTTAGTTTTGGGATGCAATATATTCCTAATCCTAGATTCCTAGTAGGAAATTAGTTGTTTCGTTAGCGCATTAATTCTTGGCCTAGAAACGACCCATTTTAGTAATTTTAGCAATTGGTCTATAGAAAATTTAATTTCTTTTATCCAAATGTATGGCCGGCTTTGGTTCTCCTTTATATTCATGTCAACGATGAATGACGGCAAGACCCTCTCTTCATCTTCATGGATGTTTGGGAGAAGAAGGTTATACATCAATAGTCAAGAGAAATTAAGTTTTCTATCTACCAATTAATGGATACAATTCGTATCCTTCTTTTGTAAACTACTTTTGATTTTAATGAACAGGGTATATCCCTTGTTTTTTCTGTCAAAAAAAAAATCTTGAGAGACCAAATCCGACTATGCATCTCCGATGTATCAAAGGGATGAAAGGTTTCCTTTGATTAAAACTACAATAACAATAAAATTGCTCAACGAATTGATTTCATAGTGTATTGAAAATACTCGAGGTTCATGGGCAAGTGGAAAAGTAATATCTAATTATCGATAATTCACTTTTTCCATAGTAGAGAGAGAGAGAGGGAGCCAAGGAGTCACGCTCTACGTTCACATTCACATTTTTGACTTAAAACAAGCTACGAGTTCATAATTGTACATTAATTAAATAGTAAACAATATTGATCAAAGAAACATATATACCTTCCACTATTTATCTTTACAATAGAACATCCGAATTCCAATTCTAACGGACATAGAATTTTTATGTTTTCCTTTTAAGCTTAGAATTAAATATTTCGGAAACTGTGTTCTCCTGCGATTAAGCTCTTTCTCAAAGGGGCGGGAAAAATTAAAAATAAAAAAACCCTCCTCCAACTTCAGCTTTGTCACTGAACTCACACCCAACTACACTCGGACTGGAGTGCTGTTAGAGCATCTCCAACCCAAAAACCCAAAATAGTATAGTTTTTACACTAAGTTGGTATAGTTTTTACACCAAATCACTATTTCATCTCCAACCCATTATACCAAATGTTACACCAAAAAGAATATTTATTTTATTATTCTTATCTTTTAACATTTTTATCTATTTAAAATATTTAACAAATTATATAATTATATAATACATTACATATAATTAATTATACTAATATATTTATGAATAAAATAAAAATATAGAAATTAAATGTTAAATCAAATTAAAATATTACTTTCATAAATTCAACTAAAGATGATATTTAACATCACAAAAGAAAGCATCACACTCGCAAGCAAAAAAATAAAAGGCATTACATTTAACATAAAATAAAACACAAAAACACAGTCCATATTGATAAAATGCTAAGTCTCCGAATTAGTATATTCATCCCACAAATGATCAATTAATGCATCTCATAAGACCTTCCATAAAAAGTTTTCACAAAAAAAAAATTAATTGAGTCATTTCTGACGAAAAACTGTAGCATCCCGCTATTTTAGCGGGATGTTTGGCGCTCCGTTGAAGCGCCAAAACACTCCAAAATGGAGCTTTGGCACTCCATTGGAGACGCCCTTAGGTTGGGTAAACTGCAAGTTGGCCCCTATCATATCACCCAATTGCAAACACATACCCCTTGTAGTTTTATTATTGCGGATAGGCTGTTGACCAATTGCAAATAAACTCATTATTTATTTATTTATTATTATCATTATTATAATTAATTATTTGGTTCTCAGGGGATCTATTTATCAAAAAAAACCAATTTTCTCTCATCTGAGGATTAAAGGATGAAAACATTCAAGGGTCCATCTGCAACAACAGAACTATAGGTAGGTCTATCCGAAATTGGGCAACAGTATAGGGGTTCTATCCGCAGTCACCCCAGAACATATTTTGCTCCGGCGACCTCGGATCTCCGACCGAGGAGCGTTGTCACGATGAAGGCGCCGGTGCTCTTGTATAGTGATGCACGTGTGAATTTGGTGGAGGAATCTCGTGCTTTCTCGTATAGTGCACGTGGATAAATTGGTTAATTCTCTTCACCTTTCCTTTTCTTCTATTCTTTAACCAAATTACCTATTTATTAAATATATTGATTTGATCAAGATGTTTCTAGGAAATGTATTAATTAGAAGAAAAAAAAAGAACTATAGAAGAAGATAAGATAAAAACATTAGAAGATTAAATCGACTTGTATAAGTTTCTGAATCAAGGTGTCACTCCGAGCAGAGCCAACCCTCTGCTTTGGAGTAAGCCGAAGTTGTTATTCCAAAATAAAGATGAACATACAATCAGACGACAAAAAATGAATGTCTCTCTATGTTTCAACTCTCTTGTTTGTTTCATTCTAATGTAGAGTAGTAGGAAAAGACAATACTACTACATTGAGTAAGAAGATGCTTATCAGACTATAAACTTAATAATCATCACCACAATTTCGAAATTGTAGTGCGGTGGAAAAGTCCAATGACATGGTATCATAGCAATCCATGTTCTCCAATTGGCAACAATTTACGCAGCCTTAAGAAATATAATCCATTGTTTGAGTCCATATTTCAACTCACGAGAACACCCAATTTGCAAGGGCATGTCAAAGTATTAAATCGTAACTCTCAGCCCTTACTATAACTTCGGAGCCATAACTTCAGAGTTCGGTGTAGTAGAAACTTCTTTCCTATAACAGATGTAACGGGACGATCCAACGTTCCGAAGCCCAAAATGTTGGGAGTCGAGATGGAAGTGGATTGGAGCGATAGTCAACAAGAGTTGGATCCCATTATTAAAGCGTAAAATCAATGAAGGAGGATGTGATCATATTAGACTCTGGACTGTTATTAAATATCAGTATAACACAATGTTGTCTGGAATTGAAATCCTCTCCCTAGTTCAGATGAACTGCATTTAAAGAAGTGTGATGAACGATATGTACAGCAGACAGAGTTGTATAAATGCCTCCATACATAACAAGCTTATCTGCTCACCTTTTTCAGATAAAAATACCTGCTTCCATTTTCATGACGCATGATGGAGCCTGTGAACCCTCTTTGTTTAACTCAGCCCCTAACTTTACCTGTGACAAGCTTCAATATCCCACCACTTCTCTTGCTCCTTCATGTGAATTATCACTCTTTTCTTCTTTATTTATTTTTATTTTTTCCTCTACTCTCTAGCTACGTATATATTAATAGACTGGGATGCTCTCTTTGCCCTTGATCAGCATCAACAAATTAAGTCTTCAAGCTTGGAGCGATGGTGGTTCCTACTCGAGCTGTGTTTCTCTTCACCCTCGCTCTTCTCATGATTTCTACGTCTCCGGTTCTCGGAAGACAAGCATCCCAAGGTAATTATTATTCACGTATACTTTCTAACGATTAATTTCAGATAACCCCCTTAACTTTGGAGTTTTTGCCAACAGGCCCATTTGACTAATTTAATTCCACAAAATCCCCCTAACTTTAAAGGGTACTGCACATGACGCTCCTAGACTTCTTCTATTCTGCTAAACCTCTTGAAGATTGTTCACCTTAACCCCCAAAGTAAGACCAAAAAAATCTAATTTGTCATATGCTCACCGTGTGACCGAAAAGGGCGAAAATACCCTTCATCCATAAAAAAAAATAACGTTAATGGAAAACAATAAAAAAAGATTAAAGGATGATTTTTTTAGGGTGGCAGGTATTTTTGGTTTCTGGTAACGCCGAGACACATTAGACTTAACTGTGTAACTTTGAGGGATTGAAGTGAAAAAATCTTCACAAGGTTTAGTGGAATTAAAGAAGTTCTGGGAGGTTATGTGTAAAAATTCCTAAGGGCCGCTATCTGGAAACGGCAACCCCGCCACAAAATAATAATAATAATAATAATAATAATAAGGAAAAAAGTTAGGAGGGTTTTCGAAATTAACCCTATATCCTAATTTTGCATACAATAGTAAAAAAAAAAACTTTAGGAGGGTTTTCGAAATCAACCCCATCTCCTAATTTTGCATACAATACTAGTCCATGTACGCGTATTTGGCTACCGTGTATTCTTAGGTTGGTTTTCTCCCCTTGCAGCTCATCATAGGTATCGTCAAGGCACAACAGTATCAAGCGAACTGGAGAAAAATAAATCAAGGCATGAGAAGCCTTATACGCTTCAGATAGCAGGATCGAAACTGCCAGATTGCTCTCATGCTTGTGGATCATGCACACCTTGTCGTTTAGTGATGGTGAGCTACGTTTGTGCAACGATTCAGGAGGCAGAGACTTGTCCTATGGCGTATAAGTGCATGTGCAAAAGCAAGGCTTATCCTGTTCCCTAGATTTGTGATGTGTATGTAAGTAGCAATATCATGTAGGCATAGAAGAGATTGCAAAGTTTTAGGTAATAGAATTGTCCTAGTCCAATTAAATTTGCACGAGTAGAAGTTTTTGACTTAATTTTGTTCTCCATATATGTTGTTTTGCTCTGTACCAACCAAGGATAGACCCCCTGTAGTTCTATATTTGCTGATAGACCCATCTACTACCACCCAATTGCAAATAGATCCCCTCAGCAAATTTTTTTGCTCTTTTACCCTCACAAGTTCTATTTGTCAAACAATAATTTCATTTTTCCTTAAAGATAAAAAAAGTCCAAAAAATTCACTCAGGGGGTCTATCTGCAAAAAAGATAAGAGTTATATCGGTCAATCTGCAATTGGGCCATAGTACAAGGGTCTACCAGCAATTTTCCCCAGAATTTACTTCTAGATTCAAAACAACAAGAGAGCTCAGATACACTGGAAACTTCAGAGCAAATTCCAGTACTAGAATTCATATGGAATATAAACACCATTTAACTATACTAGTTGATATCGCTCTGACTAGTTGATTGTTATGGTGAGAATGTAAACATATGATGGTCTTTCCATGATGAAGCAGATAGACATTTTTTGCCTGAATTATTACCAATCAAATGCTGCAACATGCTGTGGAATTATACATACAACATTGAGAATAAGAACCTGGAAATTTGTGAATTTACTGCTCTGCTGAGTATTCATTAATTCCTTGTCGATAAGTTCATCAGAAGAAATTGAGATTGGCATAGTAGCTATGCTTCACTGGATTCATGCAGCCCAGTCTTCATCACTGTCATCCTGGAAGGAAAAAAAAAAAAGAACCGAGGAATCAATACAGAAAACAGAGGAAAATAAGAACAGAATCAAATAGAGCTTGATCAATTTAACCAAAAAGCATATGAGATGCTAGATTCACCAGTTTCCTAAACAAGAATCCGACTCAGTTTATTAGCATTCAATATGCGTTACAGCCTTACAGGTTTCTGCTATCTATTTGATGTCTTTTGAACAGCACTAATAGTTGGATAAAGGAAAGAAAATGCAAATTTATTAGTTAATTGCTCAAGACGAGATATTGGAATTTATAGATAACAGTGTATATGATAGTATCTACAGTCTTTGAAAAGTAAATGTGCACTGAATATATATGCATTTGGTAGGTATTCCTTTCCTAAGAAAACCAAAAGGCAAGAGAAATTGGATAACAGGAGCTCTACTGTTGATTTTTCAATGGATATATTGCCATAAGTTGAATTAATCTGTGACCAAAAGTCCCCGTAAAATGGGTTTATTAACAAAGTGCACAACAAATGAAACTACTGGCATCTGATAATTATATGGGAGAGTAATTACATCTTAAGCAGAAGCGAAATCTCCAGGAATGTAAAAACATGGCATTATGTATATCTCGGCAGCTAACGATGAAAGTTCCTTGGCATTATCTCAAGGAGTTGTATTAAAAAGGTTACAAAAATTAACTTTTAAAACATAAGAAACTTTAAATCACATCTTAATATCACTTAATGGGAGGTACAACCTTACAGAAGTAATGAGACGATGAGATCAAAGTTAGTTAAAACAATAACAAAATAAGGCATACACTAGCGAAGAAAAAAATGTGATTACTTACTGGAGAGTCGCTAGAGATCTCTTCTGTCGCATCATCTACAACCTGCAATACAGTCAACAAACTAAAGTTTTACCTTCTAACCACAAATTAATATCTTGTTTAAAGAACCATTTATCTGTAGCATTTTCTTTGTTACTTTATTTGTTAAATCTCCATTGAAGCAAATGATCGTTAATGTCCGTAATCACTGTAAACAAAGGAAGACAACACAAGTGTTCAGCTAGTACCATGCTATCAAGTCACTTGTACACATTCCAACTCCATGATGTGTCGAAGTTGAAAAGAGCCAAAAACAAAGCTTTTCCACTAAGTTCCAAAAGGAAAAGATTTCAACGCGAATAAACGACTACAACTTCCAAAGCAAGCACATAGCCTTGTCCATACATTGCCCATTAGCTCTTCAAATCTGGCTAAACTTACCTGCCTGCCTATTATCTCCATTATACCTTCTAATTTCTCCTTCATATTGTTTTCTGTCATTTTCGATGAGAGATATGGTACTCTTCACGATTGGACTTCCATCGAGTAGCGGAGGCTTGCTCCGCCTTTTTTGTTTAGGTGGGTTCTTTTTTGTGTGCTGGTAGAGCCTTAATCTTTGCGAAGTATCTTGTTGACGGGGGAAACTAGTTCACTTTCTCCAGGGTGATTGGAACGCTAATGAGAAAAATAAAACTCCAAACTTGGGGAGTTTAGTCTTTATAGGTGATTCTAAACCCTAAGGGGCATGATGAAACTGCAAATAGGGAAGTTTAAGTCCTTGTGGGTGATTTGAAACCCCTTAGCTACAAAAGAAACTCCAAGCAAGGGAGTTCACTTGGGTTTGGCTACTATAGAGATCGTCTAAGCAAGCTGAGATGAGATGAGAGAAGAATGTCGATGGCGAGCCTTGATCTGAAAACTTCAGCCAACAACTTAGCTAGAAGAGGCAAAAATCAGAATAAAATTTGGAGCCTTTAAAATGTGGGTATGAGGTCTCTATTTATAGAGGTAGCAGTCTGCCTTACACAAAGTTGCATATTCTGTAGAGCGCGTTGCTCTGATAGTCAGAATCGTACAATCCTTTCTGACAGGACTTACTGTTTACGCAAGGTTAGCAGCCCCGTGCAAGCTTAAGTCAGTTACTCTTTTGAACCTTGCGTAAGCTTCTGCTGTGTTTTGTCTTTTGGTGGCTGCATTTTCTGATCTGTTGTAGTTGTCTGCCAGTGGCCGTTAAAAAGTTGACGTGACAGCTGCCCTTTGACCTCGCATTTATGTGAGGCTCGTAACCCCACGTAAGGGAGTTTAGCTCCGCGAAAGGCAATCCCGTGTTTTGATTTTGAGCCTGTTTCGGGTTGATTCCCATTTTGTCTTGACTTAAGGTTTTGTAGACTTGTTTCCTTAGCCACTTGTGGACTATTTGACTTTTGATGAGTCCAATGATCATGTTGAATGACCATTTTGCCCTTGGTGGATCCCATGTAACATTCGGGGTGTTTCATTGATGATTCAACATTTTAAACTACCTACACTTACCGTCTGCTTACAACTTTGAAAAGAGGAAGCCTTTTTATATCAGTATCTTAATGGAACATGGTATGTTCGTACCTCAAAAATCTTAAAACAAAAGATGATGTCCAATAATGTATAGACAGAAACTAGAAAGATGAAAACAATGGCTAGAAATACAAAACCCAGCGTAAAACATAATGTGCAAACTCCATAACCATTTATGAGTGGATGAATAATCAGCACCAAAAAAAAAGTAAAGTGTGTCAATTTTCCCAGACAGGATTAAAAACTTTTATAAGAACAATAGTTTTAACTGCTAATACCTGAGACCTCTTCTTAACTGTCACTGTTCTGGTCCCTGAAATGATGACAAACCACTGTGAGTAAATTTAATGGAACTCCAAAGAGCAACAAAGATAAATTCCACATGCCCATTAATTAGTTCTGCTTAGCTCACATGATCAAATTCCATAGCTGAAACCATGTTGGGATAAAAAAAAGGTCTGGTGATGGTACGTATATACCTACAAGCATGTGCCTATGCTTGATTTATATACACCTTATGTGAAGAACAATATGTTTAATGTATAATTTGAACCATTAGAATAATTTAAATTGTTTCCACTAAAACTTGTTCCAATTTGCTAACAAATTTGAAATATATGCTCGATTACTATACACATAATGTAGAACACTGACTTTAGCTTGGATTACACTTTATTCTGTTTTATAGAGAATAACTCATTATTTGATCTAATCCTTGTGAGAATAAACAAAATAAAGACCTAATAAATTCGAAGCAATTTAGTTGGTTCAATCCCATAAGATTTAGCAAAGAAGTAACTCAAAATTCTAAAAAACCTGAAAGAAAGCTTATTATAGAAAATTTAGGAGCTTCTACTTATGAAAAGCTTTTTCTAAGTTTTAGAAAATATTTGGAGATTTGAAAGGATTTAAGTTAGCTTTTTAACTCTGATCTAATTACTTCACTCTACTTAGAACCTTCCATGATTCTTCAACTTCGTAATCAAATCAGTAATTTCCGGGTCACTTAACATCAATAATAGTAATCAATTGATATAAATGACTAAATATTTTCCCATAAAATTTTGTATTCATTTATAACATATTAGCCAACCCCAGAAACTTGGGATAGACGTTTTGTTATTGTTGTATTTAGAAAACTATATCAAGTAATCATTCTGTTTTCTAATTTTTATGAAGCATTTTATAGTTTATCTGTTTATTAATTATAAAAAATAACTACTTAGTCCAACCCTAACTAAGGATTCCTAATCGTTCAATCAATTAGACACTTTGGATTTTTTTAGTAAACATAATCGAATAAGTATTCTGAAGTATAACTGAGATCCAACTTGCTGGCCTTGCATTTTGAATGAGTAAATCTAGGATGAGGAGATGGCCCCATGTGGTGCAAGAGAAGCCTCAAAATTTTCTATAAGCTCACAAAAATCCAAGAAAATATGGAGCCTCAAGTTTTTTAATACAAATAATTATATAAGACGAATTTTCTTTCCTGGAGAAATTATTGTGTCCGTTTTAATACTGAAAATCATTTGACAAAAGTATTTAGTATAAACTCAAAAAGCTCACCACTCTTTTCACCAGAAGAGGCGCCTCTCTTCTTAGTTCTTTTGACCTATAATTGAACATTATTTTCCGTATAAGCTACTGGACAGCTCAAGTAAAAATTCAAAGAAAGCAGATGCCAATATGAACCCCTTACTTGAACTTGTTCAGTTATCTGAATTGAATCAACCCGTTGCCGCTTAGCTCCAGAACCTACAGAACATAATTAGAGAAGTGAAGTACCTCATTTTCCTTAAAGCAAGTAGTCACATAAATAAATTGAACATAAGCAGACAGCTAATGGGGAAGTCAAACCTTTTGGTCCGGAGGAGTGATCTGTGCTATGCTTAGATTTCTGAAAATATGAAATTTATGTAAGACTATCAGGCATAAAATACAGAAAAGTGAAATCCCATAGCACTGTGGTCTCCATGCAGGTACATGCACATACACGCACATTGCACAAATACGTGTGCCTCTGCCAGTATGTGTTCCTTTAGCCAACAAACCCATAGCCCCAATTACATATTAAAACATAAAGAACGAAACGAAAATGCTATGAATTTGTCGAAGGAACTGCATACAGTTAATATGTTTAATGTACCAATTACAAGAAAAGGTGACCAGTTTCTTGGAAAACGAGTCTTTCTGAGCTATACAAGAATCATTCCATTGCAAGTGTGGTCATTGCCAGATTAACTTAGCCTCAAGAAAACTGTTGAGAATTTTTAAGAAATATATATTTACTAAGGATGCCTATTCCCTAATATCTGCTGGAACTTTTATGAGGTCAATAGTGTGTTTTACATGTCCTTTCTCCCTGCTCGATCTCTCTTCCACTTTTAGCATTACCTATGTGGATCGGCCAATCATTTCAAATTCCACACCGGTTACGTTACAACCAACAGCATGAAGTAAAGTAATTACTTTGTGTTCTTGAAGAGGGGGGTTCCTATTCACTCACTCTTCATTGCAGAAAGTAGAAAGTTGCTAAAGATCTTCTTTTGCGGTAAGCCTTTTACCATCAGAGAATATTTCATCAAGTTTGATGAATATGGTCTGTTGTTAATATGATACCAACCCTCTTAATATGATGCTAAATTGTAGTCAAGACAACAATGAGGTAGAGAAAGTTTTATCTAAAACCATAATAACTACTGAGGAGACATGAGAACAACCATTCTTGGACCCGCAGATAATACACACAAGGATCAAGCCTCAAAACGACAGTAAACTTGGAAAGAGCAATACAAGGAGATAAGACGGTGAGGTTTTGCTATCTGAAATGACTTCTAAGGCAAATTACATATTGCAAATAAAAAAACTACGTTCCAATGGAGATGATATTGCAATTTAACCCCGTATCATTACTGCATCTAAAATCTGACCATTATATTGCAAACTTTTCAACTGAGGGGGGTTAAGAGGAAGGAATACAAAAGGGAGAGGGTAGTGGTGGCTAAACAAATCTAGACATTTACACCCTGGGAAAAAAAACAAATCTCAATGGAAAAAAAAACATATTCCATAAGAACCTTTTCCATTTGGCAAACTCCGCCGATAAGACTGGCCAACAGGGGGTTGTTTGCTTCATATACAATATGACAACCTATTCTGACTTCAGACCTAATGTTGCCTAGAGTCATTCCAATTTAAATTTTAGACTAAATGTGTGATGGGATAATTATTAGTATCATCATGTCATGATATGAGCTAGAACTTGTCGTTAACCATGAAGTATTAGTAATCTTAAAATACCAAAGAAATGGAAAACCATGAACAATGTACTAAAGAAGTAATCAACATGGAGTGAGCTAGTTCTTACCTTCTCTACTGCTTTTTCAAACAAAGAAGAAAGAGTGGCTTGAACTAATGACCCCTTTTTATGTGGAGAATTTTCTTTAGGATTTTTCAACTTCTTCGATGATGAAGATTGCTCTCTTTGTTTCTCATCAACAGGAAGTCTTGATGATATGAGAACAGAATCTTCTAGCTGTGTAATCACTTAAGGACTGCAATTTTTCTCAAGAACATATGTTTAACTGGGACTTAGATATTGCACAGGTTTCCTTTAAAGAGAGAACATGCCATTTGTGAACAGGAAGGATAATGCAGAATGTAAAGGAAAAAAAATTAGATTATTCAATATGAGCCATATAAAAGTATTAAGTATGCAACGGATATCACCCAATATGGATCTCTTGGATGCTTTATCAATGTCAGTTTTGACATCATATTGATACGCACGCTCAGGTTCCTCTGTTTTAGGCTTCTCCTCATCACTAGCAATAGAATCGTGTTCAGATGGTTCTGCATAGCTAATAATCAAAATTGAAAGGTAAATAGAAGTTCTCAGATGAGACAACAAATAGATAATCTGTTAAACTCATCACTTATATGTAAATCTACCGAGAGAAGCACAAAACTAAAAGCTATCAGTTAGCTTTCCAATATGAAGCAATTCAATAGGGGAAACGCAGGCTTCTATCTTTTTGGGGTCAGCGGCAAGCACCTTCTAGTAAACAATTCTGCAAATGATCACCTAGTATTATATAAGTGTCTACACAACTACGGACACCGATATCCTGTAGAGAATTGAGATTATAATGCTGCAGCTTTACCCAAGCAAAGCATGTCTAATCCACTTTGACTTTAAACATTGCTAAGGGTATAAAATAACCAATGACCGCTTAGTTTTTATTTCATTGTGTAACGTAAAATTAGTGCCTGTATAACAAGGCAAACTAACATGAGCACATAAGAAAAGTTTTAAGAATGACACAAGAAACATATCATTTCTTATAGAATGCATATAGAATGGGAGACAGTTGTAAAGCCCGTGAAAATGTAGAGACTGTTGTATGGAAGAAGATATATAAGACTATCATATGGAAGAAGATAAACATATATATAGCAACATTGAGGAACTTGGTACCAAGCACAACTTTTTGTGCTTGGTAGTGAGGTGACTCATTCTCATCCACTCACTCAAATGGGGGACCACATTCACATGGGTTGGAGAATGGATAGGAATGAGACATCTCACTACCAAGTAGCAAATTTGTGGTTGGTACCAAGTTACTACATTTTTCTCATATATATAAATTCATGTTAGGTCTCTTGTTTTGATGATGATTTCCAAACACCATTATTGGTGCTAATTGCTTGTTGAGTGATATTGTGCATATTACATTTTGTCAAGCAATATAGTGTCACTATTGGAGGATGGATGGAACTTGCGCCGTAACGATGATATCCAAAGAGGTGGAGGCAAGTTGATGAAGAAAAGCTATTTAAAGAGCAACATATACAAGAGGAGCTTCATCAACAATTTAACAAATATCGAGCCTCAAGAGTTGTATACATATGTGAGCGATATTTGTATTTTTGACTTTCTCTCTAGATCATAATGTAGTAGACAAGAAACAAAGTAGATAACATTTGAAGCAATTGGGGTTCACACACACACTTTTAAAATCATGTTTTTAACCAATTTTAAAAAATGATAAGTTTTTGCATTTGGGAAATGATTTTTCAAGAATTCCTTTTCTAACATGTTTATATTCATGTTTATAAACATTCCCAAAGTTTGACATTTTTTGAAATTTATTTGCTATTTTTAAAGGCACTTCAAAAATTAAATTTTTTTTAAACAAATCATGTTCATGTTATCAGTCAACTGAACAGTGTTATCAATCGACTGAAGAAACTGTCTGGAAACACTGAAAGTTTCTGCTCAGTCGACTGATGAATTATCAGTCGACCGAAGCAGTGCATCAGTCGACCGATGAATCCATCAGTCGACCGATGAATCCATCAGTCGACCGATGAATCCATCAGTCGACCAATTAAGTCTGAGCGGCCGCCAACGGTTAGTTCATTAGTCGACTGAACAGTACCATCAGTCGACTGATGACACTGTAACGGCTAGTTTCTATTTCAGTTGAAATTTCGGAATTTTATGATTTGTTCGGGATTTGGGCTAATGTTTGGGGTTCCTATATATATCCTTTGACCCTCTTCATTTCAGTATTCAAGCAAGCAAGAAAAATTCCTTGAGTTTGTGTTTATTGTGTGTTTTGAGCTTAAACTCTCATTCTTCTCAATTTCGGATTTACACTTTCAATACCCACAAACCCAATCTTCAGTTGCAATCTCATAATCCTTGCCATAGGGGTGTTGTAAGAGAGATTTTTCGATGTGTGGAGAGCTTGATCTCAATGAGTCAAATTGTGTGGTTGTGAGATCTCAGAGGAGATCATTGTGAAGAAATTCCGGCTTTCAAACCGGTATTTAGTGGATTACCATCGGGAGAGGTGGTCGGGGACGTAAGTCGTGAGGACCGAACCTCGTGAACACATCGACATGCAATTTGTCTAACTATTCTCTTACTCTCTCTCTCTCTCTTATTTATTGTCATACTTATTATTTGTGTTTGGTATTGTATTGAATTTCATTAATTGCACATCTATTGTTTGATTACCCTATTCACCCCCCTCTAGGGTAATTTCAATTCCTTCTATCTATTTGCTGGGGTGTTTGCTCTCTTTTTTACGAGAATGCGGAATGGAGCAAAAGGCTCTGGCCATATGTATATACTTATATGAGTAAAAGAGTCAATATGAAGCTTTCATAGACCAACCCCAAGATGCAGAACCAAGTATAACCATTGAAAGCCAACAAAGAAATGGTTCCCGCAAAGGACCATAACCAATAAAAGAGTCAGCAAAGGACTAAGAACTGCACAAAGCTATCAGCAGCAAAGACACAAGAGATAAAGTAACAACAGGAGAGCTAATATTGAATTAGCTTGACTGTGGCTACCCACCATGCAAACACACTCACCAGAAGGGAGTGAACAACTATACAGAGAGGAATTCAACTTGGCCTACAAGAAATACAGAGGATACATCTGAACAACTATCACGTCAATACAAAGAAAAGTTCTTTTCAGTGATTAAACATGTTCAGATCTTTAATGCTAATATAGTGCTATATAATTAATTCATGCATGTTAATGCTACTGGAGTAGAATAATGTTATATTGACTATGAAAATAGAAACCAACAACTGACGAATCAGCATGAGGGACATAAAATTGATGAAACAAGAAATGCCTCTCCTCTAACAAGTAAATGATAATAGTATGATACATAAACATGCTCTACTAGAAGCACTTTTTTGGCAATCACTAGTGTTATATAAATAAACTGTTAAAAAGTAGCAGTAACATACTTTAGTGTCTTTCCAGCCATTCTTGCTGAGTGCCGAACTGGTGTAGCTTCTGGGATCTTTACATATTCTCCTGTTGAGGGATAGGAATCAGCATCTGTATCTTCCTCGGATTCAGTGTCAAGGGAAGGTGATTTCACTTTATATTCCTTAGTAGGCTTTTTAAGACTTGGTGCTTCTCCAGTTGTTGCCCCAGCCCCTCCTCTGAAATCAGGAGCTTCATTTTTGCTCTGACAATATAAATATAGAATGTAAACAAAAAAATCATGTGCTACTGATATAATAAAATATGAGATATTGTTAGAGTAGCTGACCTCATTCATGTCATTAGGAAACTCGAGTTGATTTTCTTCTGGATTTTCCTCCTTTGTCCCAATCCACCATGCTTCAGAAAATACAATCTAAAGCAAAACACCATGAACAATGATGATTAAATCCATGAAGTAATATAAAACATGTTAACTTGCTCAACAGAGCCGAGTTCTAAAGTTATCACGCATATGAAACTCTCTTCTCCATGGGACACGCGATAAAGATTTATAAACATGATCCCCATAACCAATCGAAGATAAATGAAATGATCACAACAATTTACTAGCCGTTTGGTAATGACGATAAATGATTCAATAGCCACATACCACATTCAATCCAATGCAATCAAAGTTGTTTGTTTCAAACTATCAGTGTTTAATTTTACTCAATAACACTGTAACTATTCAACAATCCAGTCAAAATTTTCATTTTATCATAACAAATGAAAATACAGAGTAAAACTAAATCTCAGCTTTCTTCTCAGTGATTCTACTTACCAAGCTCTCGAAGCAATCCTCACACATCACCCCCTTTGCCGACTTCGTCAGCTGCAGCGTCAAATACTTGTTCCTCGGATAAACATGTGTGCCAAATAGCTTCATTCTCCCCTAAAATAATTTCATTGAAAACCTATAAAACCAACGAAAAGTAATGAAATCAACAAACACCGAGATCTAGGGTTTCGATTGGACCGACATTAGGGAACTCGAGGTAAAGGACGGGGTTCTTGGAGCTGGGATTGGCGAGCTCGCCGACGCGGCCGCCGGAAAGAGGAGCGAGGAGGCCGGGGAACGAGAAGAGGTAGCGGCTCTTGCGCTGGCCTCGCTTGACTATGTCACGGCCGTCGATCTTGAGGACGGAGTTTGAGGGTTCGAGGACGGAGTTTGAGGGTTTAAGGGTGGCGAAGGAGATTCTTAGAGAGAGCGAGTGATCGGAGGTGCTGCTTCTGTTGGGTCTCCGGATCGACGGCGGCGGCGGAGTTGGGTTTGGGCGGTTTCGCGCCTTTTTTCACCATTTTTTGGGATTTTTGAGAGAGAGAGAGAGAGAGAGGCTTACGGCCAAAAGGGCCTCGAGTGTCGATGGTAATGACCAATTATAGGTAAATTCCAAGAAGAAAAAGGTAATTAATTACATTTTATATGATCCCTTTTTTTAAAAGAGCTCAGCCAGTTTAAAATATGGGACCAACATAAGGACAGATGAGACGTCCCCTCCTATTGTATAATAAATTGGTTATTATTTGATGACCAGATTATTATGCAATAGGAAGGGAACATCTTATCTGTCCCTCTGTTGGTCCCATATTTTAAGTTCTTGGAGAATTTTTTTTTTAAATCTTTTTTATATGATTTAATATATAAGAATTAATACTAAAGTACGTCATACAACATAAAGACATTAAATAAATGAGTAACTTTATATCAACCCCCAAAATCCTCAACAGTTAGACTACCCACCACCCCACCCCAAAAAAAAATCTTCAACATTTCAATGTTAGCCCCCCCAATTCCTTGAAATTGATTTCAAGCCTCTTAAAACCTATTAGTATGTTGAAATAAGCCTCCCTAGTTAAAATCTGATATAAAATTGGTGGGGGGGTATTCTTTTTAATTTAACTTTTTTGGGTGATTTACTAGTTATGTCTCTCTCACACAAATCTAAACTCATTAATCACTTTAATTCATACCCGTTAAGTTCTCATATTTGATTAATAAAACTCTAACCTAAATCCATTTTTCACTTCATCTTCTTTAGCATCTCTCCAATGTCTTACCCAATGGGAATCTATCTGATGCAAATTTGGTATTAGAGCTGAAGAGAGCCATTAGGGAAGACTTTTGCAGAGGATGAAATGAAAAATAGGGTTTGGGTTTTATTAAATAGATTTTGAGAAGCTTAACGGATTTAAGTTAAAGTGGTTAGTGAATTTTAGGTTTTAGTGAGAGGGATATAATTAGCAAATCCTTGAAAAAGTTGAAGTAAATAAAATATTCCCCCATTTTAACTAGATTTTACTTTGGGGGTTCTTATTTCAACATACCAGTAGGATCCTGGGGAGTCTGAGATCAATTTCAAAGATTTGAGGGGCTAAAACTAAAATATTGAAGATATTGGAGGCCCTGAGATCAATTTTGAAGATGGGGGGCTAATATTGAAATACTGAGAATTTTGGAGGGCCTGAAATCAACTTCGAATATTTACAGGGCTAATACAAAATAACCCCAAGTAAATTTTGAGTCAGATGATTAATAATATTCCCTCATAATCTGATACAAAATGAAATAACACAATCAAAATTAAAGCAAATCATAAATTTTT